GAAAAAAAAAGTAAAAATAAAATCTGGTGAATTGGAAAAATTCTACAGTTTTCAAACAGTTTTTCCAACCAGAAATCACACTAACATACCCCAAATTAATTTTTATATAGCCTAGTTTGTGTAGGCAAGTCAAAATTCTGAAAATAAATCATACCCCCCTTTGCCGTAGAATTCCAATAGATCAAATCATTTTTAAGACCCCAGTGACATACCAATATGTTTGTTGGAACCTTGGCTATGGCCGCTACCACAGGCAAGACTTTTCATAAAGCCTTTCTATATTTATATTATGTATCACCACTTTTATTTAAAATTTTTATGTAATTTTTGATAATTTTGGAGGTAGTCAGCTTATAGAAAGCTTTACAAAGGTCCAAACATCTTCCCTGTGGTAGCGGCCATAGCCACACATGTGCTGAAGTAGCCCCTACAACCTAGACACAGTAGGTCAAACGGTTCTGTTGGAATATTACGGCAACAGGGCCATTTTGACAAAAATCACAACTTTACAGAATAAGCGATTAAAGAAAAAACTTCAATATACTCAAATAACTTTAGTTATTCACTCTCTTATAAGAATAATATTTTTGAAAGTGAATCAGGAAAGTTTTTCAAAGTAATCATGAACATTTCTGTGACATTTTCATACTAACTGGTACATTGCACTCATTTTACCATGAAAATGTAACTTTCTGTGGCAGAACAATTGTAAATAATGTTTACTTTGAACTCACTAACAAGTAACTTTTATTGTAAGAAAGAACATGTTGGCATTTATAAAACTACTATGAACAATACTTTTTCAACAAACATTACAACAATAATTTCTGCAATGAACTTCTATATCTTTAAATTGTTATGGTTCAATCAAATGTTGTGCAAGATGAAAATGTCACTTTGAAATAAACTGTAAACTTTATGATTTCACAAAAAACTAAGACACAAATTAATTAAAACAAATAAATTTTACTGGATTATTTATCTTACACTACACTACACATCATTCAATAATATTTACACATGAAAATAATCAACAAGTTATATTTTGAACCATCATCTGTCAATTAGTACACATGTGCTTTTAGCTGTCTGCTCTATATCTGTCTCTCTCGCGGCGCCTTGCTGTATTCACGCGCTAACCTCGACAAATTTCGTTAGCCGGTTCACTGGCGAAGTGAATCTAAAATTTCGTTGCAAAAAAATGTCAAATTAAAGTGAAATTGAACATAGAAAAGTGGTATTTTGACTATCATTCTTACTCACCGGAAAGTCCAGTACAATCAGATAAGTATTTGCATTCTCTAATTCTATTTTCATATGTAAATTTGATGAATGATGCTTTGTGTTGACTTCCAGGTTAAAGTACCAACTTTTTTTGGATGAATCTTCCCAAAGTTTGCTGTTAAAATCTAAGAAAAGAATCATAAAGTTTCAAAATGGTAAGTGTACTCTTGTTGATTTTTATTTATTATATTTTTATAACACACAATATGTTTTTTACTTACAGCTGGAGCGATAACTTCAATGACCACCAGGTACATAACTGTCATCGTTGGGATCATTGTGTCTTCTTTTCAATCTAGCAGATCTCGCTTGCTTAGAAGATGATGCAGCTTGAATATTTGCCTGGTAAATTCTTTTATCATCACTTTGTTTCATGAATTCAATTGCGTTTGGGCCTGGCTGAATATCTAATTCTTTCATAATTTTCAGCAGAGCAGTTTTACCATCATTGAATGTGGACACTGCTATGAAGGCTCCAATGTTCAAAATAGTACCACCACTCCACTGTTTTTTTGGTACATACTTCCACAGTAAATGATTCAGGGATTCATTGACGTTCTGAGAAAATGCTCCAATACATTTTACCAACAGTTCTGGCTTGGAGAGCTCTTCGTAGGTCTTTTCTATTTCATCCATAATTGCTTCAGGTATTGAACTGTTGTGCGTGAATTTTTTTAAAGTGCCCTGTGCTTTGGCCTTCTGCCATTTGCACCAAGAAGTTGCTCCAGCTGGACATAAGTGGTGTTGTGGTTTTTTATCAGTGGACTTTTTGTGAAAGAAAGTGGCCCATATATCATTTCTCATGCTAGTGACAGTAGTGTTTCTTCTAATCGCTTGAGTGTAGTACGATGACAGCTGATCTATCACTTTGGCTGTCAATCTTCCTTTTCCACCTATTGTTTTCCCATCACTTAGCAAGGTTCTTCCAAATCTCTTCTTTATGTTGCGTAAATGAGTTCCCATTCTTTTTCCAACGTGGTTAATATCTTCTTTTTTTTCTACTTTAAAATTCTTTCCATAAGGTTTAACTATTTCAATCTTAGCGTAAACTTTGCAATCACCATCACCAATGTAGTTTTTATACTTTACTTCATGCAAATCTTCTGATCTTTGAAACATCTCAACTATTCCATCTACTTCCATCATACCAGCACTGCCAGTATGGTTGACTTTACAAACTTCTTTATGCTCTTCGAACCATTCATAGTACTCTTCTGAACTTTTATCTTTATTTTCCCATTTTCTACAGGCTTGACAGAAACTATTTTTGGTGATTACATCTACAACTTTTCCAGTATAATGGCCTATTAGACTGGCAGCTCCTTGAAGTGATGTAAACCCTGGTGTACGCCAAGTTCCATCACCAGAAACAGAGAGACCAGGATGAGATTCAGGGGTACGTTGACATTCTTCTGTAACAGCTCGGTGCATGGAATCTGTGGCTATCGTCTCTGCAGCAACTTCAATGGCATCATTAATTAGTTGATAACTTGTTTGAGCAACTGGCTGAGGTAAGTCCATTACTGCACAAAAAGATTCCAGGCCTGTTAGTCCTACTCCTATAGTGCGCATAGCAAGAATTGATCTTCGGTTGCATTCATATAAATTTTTTTTAGGTCCAATTTGCTTGCTTGACAACACACTTGACGAAAACTGGCACTTTTTATTATTGCAGTTAAAGTTGAGCTCAAATCCAAGGCCACGAACAGAATTCTCAACAATACTAAACTTATCACCACATTTACAGAAAACATTTTGTTTCAGAAAAGGAAGTAACAGGCTAAAGTCGATCAACCGGTATTGAGCTGGGCTAGCTTCAACATCAGAATTGTTACAGCGGAGTTTAAATTTTGAAGCTGAATGAACTAATTGAGCTGCTTCGAAAGCAGATCTTTCTTGAGCTCTTGTCAATTTTGGATTAGAAGGAGCTGCAGTCCATTGATTGCCCTTAAAATGCACTCTGCGCTTTCTCCCAGTAGTCCTTTTTTTCTCTGGGTTGCTCCTTACTCTCTTACGCGAAGGCTCCATAATAAATTTACTCTTACAAATTCTAACTATTCTAACTAAAAATAAACTAATCTGATTATAACTAAGCTCTAAAGTATACTAGTAAAAATACAATTAAAAAGAAGATTTTTATTATCTAATAAACTATATGTAATGATCAATTTAATCTAATAATCTAATGTTTTAATGCTTAACTATAACTTATATTGTTCTAAACTAACTAACTAATTTTAAACTAAACTATTAATTTAAAAAAATGATTATAAACAAATTACTATAAACTATCTTAAATTACTCTAATAAAAAAATAGTATACTAAACTTAATTATTGTATTTTAACCTAATTCTAAACTACACTAAAACTTATATTTAAACTAATTATTTCTAGCAACTAAACTAAAAGTAAAATTATTTATACTAACTACTTTTAAAAAAATGAATATTAATAATTATGAATACTATAATAACAGCTATCTATTTAAAATTCGCGTCGAGACAAATATCGTGAGAGCACTTCGTAGCGAGAGAAATCAAACACTGATCGATAGTTTAACGTATACCAAGAACGTTAATTTAAATTTTTAGGGTGGTAAAAGGGTATCGTGATACCAATCAAGGTATTGAAAAAAGGGGGTGATCATTTGAGATCGTTATATGTATATAGAACGCTTGCCAACATGACCATAATAAAATCGAAATTATCACAGAATTCGCTCAAAATGATACACCTGGATTTGTTCGGTAAATCGGCTGTATCTTTTGATAGGATTCGAATTTCGAAATTTTAAAAAAAGCGCTGAAAAGGGGAGAAAATTTCCTTTCTGAAACACAAATAA